GTCCGGAGATGGTGATTCTCGCCAATCTGCTCCCTAACTGCGAACGTGCAACATCAATGAATGGTTCTCATTAGACCGAGAGAGAATCGAAATAGACCGGGAGGAACCGAATCAGAACTCGATTTATCGGGTAGAAAAGGCGTCCATCTGACGACAGGTCGACTGAAAATCTTGGGGGGGGGGCATGGCCTACTGACGCCAGGTGCGCCGATACAGCACGACTCTTCATTGGATGTTTGGATAATGTTTGGATATCTCTCCATTCGGAAACTTGTTCCGGCTCGCTCCGAAATTCTCATGAAACTCCATCGGTCCAGACGAGCTCTTCCTTTCTGCCCGTTTCCGCTCGCACTCGGCTTCCCGGAAAGATCTCGTTCGCCTTCCCGTCTTTTTCGCGTTGGGGGAAGTATCAAGTCGTTCTCCATATCTGATAATGCTCTCGTTTTTACCCAGGTAGGCATTCGTGGTTTGTTCTTCGATAGATGGCACTGCAACAGTTCCGTGATTGATATCGCATTTCCACTCAACTCTCTTGATTTCCTTCGCGTTTGCTCGAGGGTGCTCATACGACCCGCCTCTGATCATTCATCTAAATGATGAGTCACCTGGGCATTTCCAACAAGAGAAGCCCTTCATGTGCAGCTGAATTCCGCAAAATGAGACACCTGTTCCGAAGGTGCGCTGAGAATCGGTTTCCCTTCTTGTTTGGTTGTATGGTGCACGGCTCGTATGGAGCGAGATGGCGCTATGGATTTATCTCATGATTCTCCGGGAACATTGAATTCGCTGAGGCACTTCAATGCAGGTTTCAGAAGTACCTGACTGTTTTCGCCGAGGAGAATCGATTGGTCGAGGCAACTAGAATCTTCCGGGAAGCGATTGCATGAAATTCTGCAATGTCCGCGATTAGAGAATGTTACGCTAAGAAGTCATAGGTTCTATGCAGCTATCAGAGGATAAGTATGTGTATCGAACGGCAGAGTCGGGGAGAGAGGCACTCGCAGGTTGAGCGAGACTTCCACTCATGAGACGAGAACCAAAGGGGATTTTTCGGACCGCTGCCTTCTTATCCATCGTCGGCGCCGCAGAATCCACGCGATACCTCCATGGATGGTCGCGCAATGCTTACAGCACCTCCTCGATCATGCGATACGCACATAAGAAATCCCATATCGTGTACATATTGCTATCAGAGTCTCCTAGACGAGCGCGACAAGAGGAGTATCTGAACGTTCTCCCGGATGTCGCCTGACTCGCCACCGAGTCCCGCTAGAGGTTTTCTATTCGCGCGCTCGCGATTGTGAAGTCTACTGTCTGTTCCAGAAACCCGAGGCCTTCTCTACAGCTGCGCGACGGTGTTGATGTTGGCCGACGAGCCCAGAGACGGATACTATATCAAAAAGGTGGGACTGATTAGGATGGTCCAGCTCAAGCGGGAGAGCTTCCAGTGAAAAAATGCAGGCGCCAGTTTAGTTCTGACTGAAATAATGAGCAACGTAAAACTCCGTCGCTTGAACATTAATTGATAGAGGCGAACAAATATTGCTTAATGACGGATGATGATCGACAAACGTCGGTCGCATGGAGTGATATCTCGCAGGTGCGTGTGGACTAAAATCGCTGTGGATGTAAGGAATCGCGTGCCCAGAATTGTTCCAAGACATACTCTCACATGTCGGGCAGTCGAATCCATGGCGGTCCTGGACGTCGAATCTTGTATATATCGTGAAGCTGGTAAAGGGCGAGAAATTCGCTCCGAACACATACATATACTGCTCCATAAGTGTAATGAACAATCGAATACTAGCAAGCTCCCTCCGAGAGATCGCATCTGACGTACTCAACCGCTGGAGCTGATTGACGACGGAGCTCGCAATTTTCGTAACGGTTCGCCATCGTGTCGCCTGGTCGGAAATGACGCCTACCAGGGACAGCCGGGCAATCGCATATTGGCAGAAAGGAAGTTTGTCACGGGAAAATACCCAGACACTTCCTCGAAATTTGAGCGGAGCCATGATCAATTCAATAGACTCGCGTAATTCATTGAGACGTCCTAGTTCAATCAGCAGCGTCAGTCAGACGTCATTGTGAAGTGAATGCTCTCCAGCCCGATCCCAGATATAGAAGGCTGTCCTGCGTCAATATAGGGGAATAGTATATTTCCGAAAACGAAAAAATATGGACGGAGTCGCTTGCGCCGTTCTCTCGAGGCGGCCGCTTCGTGTAGCCCTTTCCACGGATCGAAGAAGAGACTTGAACCGTGCCTCACGACTCGGATAACTTCTACTTCGCCAGCGGAGCGCTCGCTTAGCGGTACGCAACGTTGATCACGTTGCTTCCCTGCTGCTTCTGCACTTCCGAGCCGAATTGTGTGTTTTTTCTGGGCTTCCTAATCTCACCGCGTTTTTCACAGCATAAGGTAAGCAAGAACTCCCCTCCGGACTGTTGCAGAAGTTTTAAATATCAGCGGATCATGCGGCGAAAGTTCTGAACTTCGTAGGTCCTTTCGACTCAGGGAGAGATCTCATCCGAGGTCAGGAACCAATTGTTGCCTCCAGCTGGAGTAGCGGGGCGAAGCTATGCCGATCGTTCACCGGGGCATGCTCGATGGCGGCATCGGGTAGGGAATCCTTCATTAGACTTCCAATGAGTGGGCGCGCGCGAAATCCCGAGCAGATACGCTCATTTCGGCGTCCTTTCGAGAACGCTCCGAAAACACCGGTCTGGAAGTACCTCTGAAGAGCCAGGGATTGATTAATTCGTTGATTGATGGTTAAATACACACGTATGCGTGACCGGACGGACCTGGGGCTTCCTCCATGAATGCGTTACCATCCCAGGAGGCACCGTCTGATACGACACGATGACGCCTGACCCGACCGATAAGGGGGTCGTGAGCGACCAATGCCCCCGGTCACGTGCGCCGCCGTCGCGCCGTTGTCGTTCACGATAGTTATGCTCTGAGCAGGCAGCGGTGAGCACCCATGTCCAGTCATTCAAGCCACGTTTCTCGTCGAAGCATACCATATTCAGGCATCGTCACGAGAAGCCTCGCCTTCCCGCGCGAATTCCATCCTATACGCATTCCCAGTCGTCAGTCATTCGCTTCTCAATCGCGGCCCGATTCCGTCGCTCGGTGACACAGGGGAGCCTGGAGCGAGTGGACTCGACTGGTGGCAGTGATCCCAGCAGCCGCCGTGTTTGTCAGACTGTGGTCCTGAATAATGGAATCGAAACTCGTTGCAGGCAAAATGCCTCGTCCTCTCACAGCGCAGTCCAACAATGAGCTGCAGATGCGACTCCGGGCTCAAAGCCAACTCCCGCTCGCCACGGACATTCTCAACAAAATAAGACTCTTGTGCCTCCAGCGTGGCGCCACTGGGATCCTCGGACTCGGGAGGTGAGTGTTCGTGTGTTACTGCTCAGAAAAATCACGTCGATGTCTTTTGATTGCGGAGGCCAAGACAGGGGAAAGCCCAACAATTCAAAGGCCATTTCAGGCCTTCACCTATTTAGATCATCAGATCAGCGTTTCTCAAAATAGGGGGACGCGTCTCCTGGGGGAGACGCGGGAGAAATCTAGGGGTGACGCTTAGGGTTCCGAGAATTCCGGACCGACCTGATTTCAAGTTTCTGAAAGCTTACCACGCTCATTGCTACTGTACTCCAAGCTTATAATCATTGTACAATTAAAAAATGAAGCCGTATGTACGGATAAAACGGCACTGTGGCATGTCCCGGTCGAAACTCAATATTCTCAGATATTCGATGACCCTCGGGGAAGACGCGAGCGCTCCCCACGGGGCAGAAGGGAGACGTAGGAGAAAAAAGTTCGAAAATCGCTGATTTAGATCATTCGATTTGTGGAAGACCCGGGAGCGCTCCTGATTACTAATCCGAATATCGAAGCACAGCTCGGCGATTCTCAAGTTTTCGAGCTAGGCATCGAATTCTCGGAATAATCGTCGGTCTGCAATTATGTCGTTGAGAGTTCGATCTCTCCCGAAACAATCGAATTGAACTTGTCCTGTTGATTGCCCTTCTATTTCCAACATTACCGAAGCCCAATCACTCGCGCCTCTCGGGATAACTCACCCATTCCAAGCTCTTGCCGTCTCTTGCGTCACAAAGTCACTAATCGAATCGAAAAACTTCGAGTTTCCCCACCGCATGGAGTTTTCGATCTCCTTGGTATTTATCGAAAATGGGAACCGTTGATATCCTGCCCGTGTCATTGAATGCATGATGGAAACATTCCTCCTCTGGAGGGAAAACCCCGAAACATTTCTGCAAGCCTCATAGGCTGGAAACAGCTGCCGAGAAGCATGAGGTCGGAATCAATGCAGGATGCAGCTCCGTCGGGGAACCATGCGATAATTTTGCCGGAAAACACTGAGACGATCCAATGAATTTGCTCCGTAAATTCCCCTCACGTTTTTCCCGATCGGGAGAGAGGGCACATTTGCGGCACTCGAACATGGTTCCAGGGTTTTAGGGGGGGGGGAAGTCTTAGGCTCGGGACTCTCGGGGGACTGCGCTGCGGGCTGCCTGCTTCCCATGGCTTGCTCTATCTCGAATGGATAAAGACTTGTCTTTCCGAAGAATGTTCCGGAGGATGGACGACAACAATTCCGGCGACCTCTCCCGAGAAGAGTTCATCAAAGGACTCAACGAAACCGGGCTCCATGAGCAGCTTACAGCGGACGATGTTCAACAGCTCTTTGAAATCATCGATACAGACAACTCCGGAACCGTGAACTTCAACGAATTTTTGAAGCACATTCGGGTAAGGGATAGACAGGGAGTGCGAGTCTCCGGAGTCTGAGAGACCCCGAGTCTCTGCGACCCTCTCCGGAAAACAGGTTGAGCTCCGTTGCGTCGGTTGGCCGATTGCCTCGTGGTCTGCGCAGGATTCCTTATTCCCTCCATGTTATCAATTACGGGATCTGTTCAGATCCGTGTTGCAGCTCCCTCAGATGCGATCGATAACTTGTTGGAGTAAAAAGCTCATTCGTAGCGTAGTCGAGCATGGGACAAGACTTAAACAACAAATCTAGATGACAAGCCAAGTTTTCGCAGGATGTCTCCATGAATATGTCGACGGACTGCCGTGCACATAACGACAATAAAGAAAACGTGAATGTTTCAGCCGCCCCTGAGTGCATGCCGAATTTCCATCATTGAGAAAGCATTTCGAAAGATGGACAAAACCGGTGACGGCGTCGTGACGTACGAGGACCTCAAAGGTACCTACAATGTGAAATCCCATCCCGACTTCCAGAATGGCTCGAAAACAGAGAAAGAGATCTTGACGAGATTTCTCAATGTCTTCGAAGAGGGCGGTATCCAGGACGGTCAGGTAAGCTTGAAAATTCGGCCAGGAAGCACGATGGAATGTCTAAGCGTCAACGAGAGCGCGAACATCGGGAAGGAAGCTTGTAGTATCAGCGGATCCCCTCAGAAAAAGACAGACTGAAATAAGCGTGGTGGGGTAACTTCCGGTATCTTGTAAATTGCGTTTGCTCACATGCCTCTTCCTGCGTCGACCGAGCATTTCGCAGAATAATTCATCCCCAAGGGCGTCGCAAGGGCGTCTGAAATATGAATACACTCCACCCTTGTCGGAGCCTTGGTCTCCCTCGTCTCAGCTCCAGCAGGACAGCGCCATTGAGCGCGTCTTGTACCGTGAGGGAGCTTTCCGCAACAGGCTGCATTTTCCTCCATCCATGAGAAGAAGATTCATAAACCCGACTTTTTGTGTGTCTCTAGGCGCCATTCGATAATGCAGATTGATCTAACTGTTGTGTGTCGGGTCACGGATGTATTCGTTCGATTACAAGTCTCGAGTCTCGACCGATGACACTCGAGAACGGGTTCTATTTCTGTGTTCATCGGCAGGTCGACGCCTCATCAATTTTCGTAATTAGGTAGGTTTCCATTTTGACGATCCGTTCGGCTCGTGGCTCTCTAATGGACATCCCATCTCTTCAGGTGACGTGGGACGAGTTCCTGGATTACTACTCCGGCGTTAGTGCCTCCATCGACGAGGATCTCTACTTCGATCTCATGATGCGACATGCGTGGAAGCTCTAAGTGTTCATAATGCTCGAGTTATTGTTCGTAATTATTCGCTTTTGGAGCTCTGACTCTGTGTTTGATCGTGAGTGTTTGTGTGTCTCCAGCATCCATTCAACCCCGTACCGAAAGGCTTTGATTTTATCCGAAGATCCACCTGTTCTCCGCTGCTTCCAAATTGAGGAATAAAGTTTGCGTAGGAATGGCTCACGATTCCTCATTGCTGGCGAAAAATTCATCGCCCTCGCTGATTGTTCGAAAAACTACCTCTTCGAAAGATTACAATCGGGAGAAGGACGCCGATGAGAATCGAGGAGGCAGGCGAGAGACTGAGATTCGATTGAGCATGCTGAGGCTTCGTCAAGGTCAGAAGTATTGACGAGCTTGCAAATATCTGCGGGCTCGCTCGCTTCTCTCCGTAAACTTGATTCACGATTTCCGTGGCCGATCCTCACGTACTCTATCCGAAGAAGACAGGGGTGATTCGAGGTCACGATGCCGTCATCGACTTAAGTGGGTCACTGATCATTGTCGGAACAAGAAAGTAGGTCGATGATAGGGTCTCCAATAATAGCTATGCCCTCTAATCCGGGGAAGTCGGAGGCCGAGCCAACACGTTGTCAACGACGCAAAGCCGACGCCGACGTCTAGTAGGTTCGATATGGATGTGCCAGAATTCTCTCTTCCGTCTCGTCCCATTCCGTGGAAGTCGGAGGAGGGCGACGCACATCGACTTTGAGTTGTGCATCATTTGCGCTTCGTTCGCTGAACTGGAAAATCTGTGATAGGTGGCCAGGAGAGCTTTTGCCAATTCCGGAGAAGTCTGCTGTCCGACTACGGAGCAGGCATGGGAGAGGCAGCTACCGTCGCGTCGGGCCCATACAACCGTTTTTCTACGAACATCCAATGATTGAGGCCTCTAGAACCGATGAGAGCTCATCCCGACTACTATTTGAGCGGACTCTTTTCAGATCGCGAATAGATCTCAGGGCAGTCTGGTTTTTAACATCAACGAAAAACGGACGGAGATAATGTTTTCAGAGTCTCGCTCTGCCACGATCCATCCGCATGCAGCCATGCACTCGACTGTGAAGCCCTTCCTCCGTCCATCGGAAGCGTGACGGAAGGATCCGAGCGTGACAATTCGAAGCAAGAGCGAAATTCCGAGATTCCTTGTTTACTTAACACCCATCCGTCGAAGTCATTCTCGCGACCCTTTCCTTTTGCGCTGCCTGTGATTGTCGTGATAAAGAGAGAGCTCGAACAAACATGCAGTAAACGTCGGCGAGCGGGAATCGATCTAAAAAATCGATGCGGAGCGATTCGCCGAACGTCTGTGGACCCTTACGCGCTCAGTTCATACCGCTTCGAAGCATTTGACAGTCCACATGCAGCCCTAGCGATGAGGGGTACGGACTAAGCACGGACTAAATACTAAATACGGACCCACAATAGCAACGACGATCATTTGACGTACAGAAAGTGGCCAAGGTTATCTCGACCTCCTCGCAGCTGTCAGGAGCGGAGCATGCTGACTGAGGGAATAGACAAGTCATGCGAGCTTGTTTTCGAGTAGAGATGGATGGATTCCATGATCTCTTCTCAAAAGGCTCATCGTCACAACCGATTGGCTTTTTCTCCTTACTTCATGGAGTGGATCCGGGGATCAAGTACGAGTCAAGGATATTTCCCGCACCTAGTGAGCCCCACGCGCTATCCCGCGGGATTGTCAAACTGAGGGATCGCGACGAACCTTTTCTCGACCAGGAGTCCGAACCTCTTGAGACTGCTCGCTTAAGCTCTTGCCTGCCCCGTGAGTTCGTGGGCCATTTACTCCCTATCTCATTTCAAGGACCAAAGATCGCCTCATCGGGCACCTTCAGAGCTCTGCTAGCCGAATAGGCGGGCTGGTCGATGAGACGAGTTCCGATAACGATGGTGGAAAATGATGAGGTCGCGGATAAACGGAAAAGTGGGCAGGCCGGTCGATGCGGCGGGTCTGATTGAGCGGCTTCCACTGTGTTTCCAGCCCTCTTCCATGGTGTCGACGCTCCATTGGGAGGTCATTATAGAGCTATATGGTACGCGTGTAGAGTTGAGAAGTTTGTTGACATCCATCGACTGTCGACATCCATTCATCGACTTCATCGACATCGGTTTCTCACTTCTCGAGCAGGAGACAGTCTCATGCATCATGCACTCAAGTCTCGCGGAAAATTTCTCTGCCCTCTCTCTATCTACGGGAGTCTCAGCCTCGCATAAGGATATTAGCTCGCAGTACCTAACTGCAGACAAGGTCGATTCGATCGATTGCAGTCGGGAGCGAAACTCTCGGCATACGGCCTCCCGTTTTTCTTGTTGAATGGTGGAACAATTTGCTCGGAACAAGATACACGAGGATCTCAACAGAGCGGAGGACTCGGTTGAAACTTCAACACTCCACCTCTACACATGGCTTCCTCAGTCGGTCGGTTTTTTCTCAGAAACGAGCTCCATGAATTAAGTCCTGGATAAGCTCCAGATATGTATCACTAATCTAAGATTCTCGGGCGGATTCGAGGAATCTACTCCGACATCCGGAATGAATTCATTATCGCCATCCGTCACTATTATCCTCATCATACAAACGTACAGAAAGCTTTGGCTTGAATTCGATTCTGATATCGAGATAATCGCACGTTCTCTGGGGAATCGCCGCGTCTCGATCAACAATAGATGTCCGCCCACGCTCTGAATCCATGAATCATTCATGGTCCGCGCTTCGATTGGAAGCGAAAAGTCTTCCCATTGGGCTCATCGCGTAGACGAGATTCGAGTGCCCCTCCGCCCGACCGTAGTCGATACAGCAAGAAAAGACTTCTGTGCGGCGGATCGATGTGACTCAAGTGCAGTCACGACGTCTCGAGCGATCTTGGCCTTGGCAGTATGGATGACTTTCACTCCCGAAATTTCCCAAGATGCGTACCACAACCATAGATTGGACGCGTAGCGGCAAGTCTCCATCCTATATTATTTGGTGGATGTCCGATTTCTTCAACGAAACTCTCAATCCGCTGTGAGAGGAGAGGGTCTTCAGCCGAATACGGAGACACTACTCCGAAACAGAATCACGATCACGTTGTTTTTGTTCTCCGAACCGAACGCCTGCGTGGCACGACTGGCGAGAATACCTTGCGGGTATGGAGAGCGCTTTCGTGTCTCTGGTCGGAGTTACGATACTGTCGTGTACATTTGGTCAACCCCCACAATGCACCGACGAATGCACGCGATTCATCCTCAACAATGCGAACGGACCCCAAGTTTTGAAAGTATTCGGGGAGCTCCTGAAGCCCGACGAGCCGTCCACACCAAAGGTTAGTAAGCCACACCTTGGCTCCCCCGAGCAGAGTCAGGCAGACGCTGGAACCCTGAGAGTAACATGCGTCGTATCCCGGAAACCGCTTTTCAGACGAATCTCGCCCTAATTGTGTTTCAGAGCACGCTTGAGATAAGCGGACAAAAATATGGCCTACCACCCGCCAAGCGATCTCTGGTTGAAATCGCTCTTGAGAGAGGTCTACCAGAAGATGTCATGACGAAAATACTCGACCAAGCGTCTATACTACCGATGGACCCCGAAACTGCCACGGTTCGTTGTTAGTCGTGCCTCACGTGATCGAGCTCAAGCATCGAATCGATTTAAAAAAAACGATCTTCTGAAGGACACGAGGGGAGTTCGGGATATGATCGAGCGCGACTCGATAGCGAAGCAGAAATGTTCTCAACTCCTTTCCATCTGCAGGCGAGCCTGGACCAAACAGTCAGTACAACCTCATCGACTCAGCCTCCTCTCGAGGAATCAACCGAGTCGTTGAGCGAGTTGGCCACAGACTCGCCGACTGATAGCGCCTCGACCGCTTCCTCGACCCCGACGCCTTCAATCGACATGATGAGTACTGATCCCCCTCCATCCGTCACTTCTGGAGCGAGGTACAAGTCCCTCGATGGTGGGACTCGGCTTGAAGCTCTCAGGAATACGCTGTGGAAACGCACTCCCGACATTGACTCCTTTAATCCGTAACAGCTCCACGACGAACTCTCCTGTGGTAGCGACGACGGAAGTCCGAGCGTTCGCCTTCCAGGAAGGAACGGAGACTTCCCGCAGGCGAACCACCGTTGTGCCAGGACCGGTTCTCCAGAACGGGACTGAAGGCAACTTCAGTCCACCAAGATATCAGATTGCCACGAAGGATGGTGGCGATGTCGTCCTGAGCATCAATGGAACGCAACTCAGAATGCCCGACGAATTACCGAGGCTCAATCAGATTGTCAAAAATCCACAGCTCCTAGCCGTGAGGACCATCACATATCACCCATCATGAAAAATTGCCAGCCTCAGATATTGTTATTGCCATTGTTCAAATTTGGTTTCGCTCATCATTCGTATTTTTTCAGAGAATCGTGGACGATCTCAGAAATGTCGGAGTTCCGGTAAGAAAGGATGGGAACCAAATAACTGTGGACAGAGAAGCACAATCGGCTTCAGAAGAACCGATCTACGTCCAGATTCTCACGTCGGACGGTAGGCCTCTCAAAGTCATAATAAAGAACAAGGAGGATCAGTATCAACTTCCGGGAGAAGAAGAAGCTTTCAATCGCCTGCTCGCGACGCAACCTCAAATCGCGTATAAAATCTTGAGCATCCTAGCCGCTCATGGAATCACAGCTCAAATCGACCAAAGCCACAACTTCGGAATACCAGATCTGGCTCAACGGAAGCCTGGCTCGGCGCCAACGCCAGAAATCTATCGTCCGCTGGTTCCACAGACCGACTTCCCCAGAGCTCAAGCTCCCCCGAGCATCACAATCGACGACAACCGCTTTTCGTTTCCCAGAGACTGGGGTCGCTTACGGGACCAGGTGGAGAGTGCCGTGATCCCTGCAGCACGGATCCAGCGAGCTCTTGAAATGGGGAGCATCGATTGTCCGCCGCAAGTGTTCGTAGTAATCTACCATAACATGCTGCAGGATTTCGATAGAAAGGCAAGCTTGGCCAAGACGGTTCATTTTCTAATTTCCGTCTCTTCCATCGATGTGATCTGTAATGAGACGACGGATTCGATCCGCGGGATCAGATCTGGGAAATGAAACAAACTTGTTCCAGATGGAAGTAGTCCGACGAGAAAATGAGATTGGGATGAATTTCGGATCCCGCTACTATCCGCTCCCTCAAGAAGCGGAAAACGTGGCGCACATGATGAGGAACGATCTGCTCGCCTGCGAGTTCGTTCGTGATTCGCTCATGAGGATAGGCGTAGAATCATTCAAGGAGAACGGAGGACTACAGGTGGCCCTCCCGCGAGATCGAGGGAGTTTTTTCATGTCTAATCTGCCTTCCTTCCGGCTGTTCGAATACGAAGTGACTCAGAATCCGAACGGGTCGGTCACAAGTGAGTATTTACACGGGCAGCCTCCGGTACCCCTCTCCTCGAGTTCGCGTCGAGTTCCCGGGGCTCTGCGCCGCTGCCTCGAATCGAGCGCATATGTATCGTATTATGTGTACGAGCGTAGATTCCACAAACTGAATCTAGTTCCTCGCAGTAAGTTGTGGGCCCCACAACTACACATTGCCGGAGGATCAATCATCTCTACAGAACGCCATGGAGGAAAGGGAAGTTCTCCCGCTGGAGGTGGTGGACGCTATGAACAGAAATGGTTTGCCGTCGAAGATGGACTATTCGACTCAAAACATCGAGGTGCGGAACGGGCCTCGCACACTGAGGTACGAGCAATTAGCCCTTTCCACTCAGTCAGATTCAATTCGGGAACATCAAGAATACCTCTTCATGCGGAGTTCGGAGATGAGGAATATGATAGGCAGGATGGGAAGGAGAGAAACACGGGTGACCGATCCTCTCGAAAGCTAGATAGATTGGGCAGTATAACTCTTTGGAATGCTGGGGGGAAGATTCTGAGCCTCGCACTGTCCATTGCAGGTTCCCGGTGAAAAGACGAGCCGAACCCTCGTCGAACATCAAACTGTTTTCTCGCGGCAGACCAGGCAATATGTCCTTCCTCGTCGAGGTCGATGATGTCCAACTGATGATACCGAGGGATATTCGCGAATTGAATTCTTTAATCCTCAACAACCGGCTGGATCCTCTGCGCCTCGTGGAGCTCTTCAGTAAGGGACTTGTGCGGAGCATGCGGATTCCTCGAACAACGCGAGTAATTCTCGCTCGATCAGTCTGACCAATTCGTATCATGTCCACAGAGCAACGAACCTACGTTCCGTACCACTTCGACACTGAGAGAGGACGACACGTCCTGATTCTAGACGGCGAGCCGTTCGAATTCCTTCATTCCTCAAGGTAACCGCTCAATCTCCTAGGTAAAGGTCGGCTCCGGATACCTCAGCAAGACTCAGCAGGTCAGCAATCATGAGTCATGATCCACAGACTTTGCGAGGGTAGCGGATTTTGGTTCTACATCTCGATCCTCCGTCTAATTGGACGAATCTCATGTGCCGACGAGGCTCAATTCCGACAGAATCGAGTCCCGTTATCCGGCGCAAAGAACGGCCCGGAATTCTGGAAAGAGACCTATGATACCCGAGGAGCCGCAATTGTCTAATTTCTGATCCATCTGCAGGCTCAATTATAGAGGTAATCCGACGCTGGACGCTGATCACGGGAGATACGGAAAGTAATGACTGCGATAGCCGAAGGACGAGCATAGAAGCTCTGGGTGTCCCTTGTGCTTGGAGGAAGTTACGATAGACGAATAAACTTTAATTTTTGAATATTTCCCTCGTGATCTACACGAACCATCATGTGCCCTCGGTAAGAGCGCCTGTGAGGGAACGAGCCTAAGCCAAGAAAAGCCGGAGAATTGAGTCGCGCAATCATTCCGCAATAAACACACATTGGAGAGCAGCGACGTTCATGTAGATGCGGGATGGGAGCATCTCATCGGAATAGAGCGCAGCTCGATCGCGGCACATATTCGGGGACAGCCATTTTGTGTTGCCGGCGCTTGCTCAAAATTATGTCTGTCATCATTTTTTTTATTTCTCAATAGATTCTTCCGGACATAGGTCGATTATCTACATAGAAATTATTGAAAAGGATCTCTAACCGCTGCTACTCTTGTTTGAGCTGTGTCTTGCTCTTGGAGGGAGAGCTCGGCCAGCTGACTCCTGGAGCTCGCTAAAGTGGCTGCATTCCTCATGGGCTCCGGTAACCGATTATAACGACTTTGATCTTGACCTTTTTTTCCAGACCAGGATGGGAGTTGTATCTCATTGCTTGTCGGAGGCGTGAAGACACTCCCCGTCCCTTCCTCGGTCCGCTCCACGATTTTCATTCGTCTTCTCCTGTCGCCGAACTGCTGGAAAGGAACGGTTGAGCTTCCTACCGAGGCTAACTGAGCGCATGCGAGTACCAGTGAGCCTTTTTTTTGACCGCGAACATACGAGGAAATATCTAATTCCAATTCTTTAGACTCGACTCGATGAAAACGCTCTCATCCTCGACGGGCTCGAACTGCAGCAGGAAGCCCCCTCGAAAGCTGGAACTGACGCGACTGCACGATCGTCTTCTGAGGAGAATAAGAGGAGCGACATCTCGATTGGGGAAGAGAAAGAACCCGCGTCTCGAAGGGACCTGCATTTTCATTTAGTCTCAATCGAGGTGCGAAGTCCGGAGAACATCGGGTGTTCCGAGCTGCGCTCTTATTTCCTTCATACGAGAAAGCCTGACTGTGGAGGGCTAGCAATCGGAGCTGGGGGTCATTCACGGAGCATGAGAGGAATCCAAGCTGCATGCTTGGTATGCGACGCTAGGATCGTTGACACGCTTCCGAAAAGCGGAATTCCATCACTTGTCAGCAACAGTTTTAGATGATGATCTGTCTGAGCGTGCATAGCGTGACCCCATACATCGAGTTCAATCTCGACCGAATATACTCGGAGCAATATAATCTTTCAGTATCGAGAGCACGGTTAGAGCTGAGATGAGGCCGACGAAAAACTGGAAGATTTCTTTGACGTTCGAGAGCTCGATGGTATAGAAATCCTTTCCCACGCCAAACATCGAAAGATTCGAATACATTCGGGAGAGATTAGCCATATGATCTAGCACTATTTTCCTGGCTGGATTTTTACGCGTTCGACGCGCTGCTGGCGCCTCGAACCAATACATTTTTTGGAGCATATTGACTCCCTCCTTTGTCGCACGCGTGTGGGGGTATTTCAACAGATCGTGTTCCAGAATTCGCCTGATCATTTTTTGATGTTCTTCGAATATAATTTGTGTGTCCGGAGATCCCACGGAGCACAAGGATTGGGAGCCGAAATATCCACGACCTATATGTTCGAATACCATTTCGGTATCCCAAAGCATCATTTGACGTTTCAAGGTCTCAGGCTCGTTACACAATGTATGATACTGTAGTAGGGATAGCATCATCGTCCAATTCATCATTCCACTCGAAAACACCGAATTGTTCGAGCATCCTTTGTGCAAGTTGTCTGGAGTCACCGAGGTCCCATCCTGCTCCAGCATCTCAAAGTTGAATCCGGTGCTCGATCCCGCACTGCTGAAGCTTGATGCGCGAGGATTGACAATCATGTCGCACGATTGCACCGAGCACTTAGAAGGTTGTACTCTCCGCTCGAATGGAAACGATACCGTTTCCCCTCTCAGCAATTGGATCGGATATTGAATCAGCAGGGAGGCGAGACTACCTATGAGTAGAATTAATATACCCTGCTCTGACGGCCGGATGAGTGAATGGCCCTGAGTGCCACTGAGGATATGATAAGAAGTTTCCCACCACGAGGATGCGGTAAAGAATGAGCGGTGACGGTGGATGGACAGCACGATCGGAAGAGAGATTAGCGTCAGGAGCGTCAGGGGCAATTCAAGAACCGCGTACCGCGGGAAATTCGAGACCAGCCGAACGTGCCATGGGAGAGGAACCGCCAATCGCACAAGGGTGTAGCTGAATGAGTACAGGATCAATTTGTTGCCCTGTAACGGAACATAATCAATGAGTGGGGACAAACAAAGGGCAGCGAGCAAGCCCCGTTTTCAGTCGACTTTCGATACCGACGTTCCGCTTGCCTAATCCATCGTACTTACGAGCGTGCAGCGACCCAGGTTTATCGGAAAGATTCGGAAACCCTTCCGAACCAAGATTGCGTAGATAGAAAATGTTATCGGATTGGTGCTGTTGTAGACGTGCCTCATCGGATTGAACACATTGTTCGCAGAGGTGATGTCCAGATCGAACATGGCCAACGAAGTCAATTGCTTGTCGTAGGCGGGATCGAAGCGTTTCAAGATCAAACTCGAGTGAACGCTATATTCACCCTGATTCTTGATGACGAGGAAAATGCCGCGGTAGAGCTGCAAGAAGCTATTAAACTGCATGTCGTTTGACAGCTGTCTCCGAATCCGAGTCTTTGCGATCGATTGCGCCTTCGGGAGCTCTCGCACCTGGACGAGCACCCGTCTTTCCAAATGGAGCCGCTCGATATTTTCGTCAGCCGTATCGCATTCACGGTAACCGCACATTTTCTTGTGCTCGAAGAAGACTCCGTCCTCCAATTCCCAAGAAATGACGACTTCTCTTTCGTCTGTCTTTAAGGGGAAATATTGCTCCGAAAGATAAACAAGACTATTTGGTAGGCTCCAAAGCCTGCTGAATGATGGTCTTTCATCAGCTCTCACGTGAAGAACGAACACGAAGGTCACCCTGTTCCCTCCCTCCGGCGGTGAGCTTATAGCTCTGCATATATCGAAAACTTGCTCACTCGGACTCATCGGTTGTGGCGTGATTTTCGAATGACAAGAAGGATGTTCGGTGAATAGGAAGCAAATGAAACACAATCTGATGCGCACCGGTAGAGCCATTCCTCACGGACCGGGGGGGGTCCGCCTCACAGTGGCCCGAAAATCCCTCACAAGCGAGCAGTGAGTGAATCCGAGACTGAATGATGGAGAAAACAGTTCCTTTCTCGATCTTGTCGTCTCGCTCCGCATTGATGGGGGAACGAGGGTACGTGTACGTAACGTCCATCGACCCCTAGTAATGGATGCGCTAAATGAAACTCGCCGGTCGCTCTGAAATATCTGCAGAATCTGACTTTCCGTAGAGTCTTCTATCAATATGAGTGAAATGCAGCTATGTATTCAGAGCGAGAGGTCGAGCTCGCTACGGTCAAACTTACCTACAGAAGACTCCTCGATCCAGGGATCCGGGAAACAAGGGGGTCAAAAGTTGGGAGCTCTCTTGCGCAAGGAACTCTCACAGGCCGAGTGAAGGAGATCTATAATGTCCTCCCCGAATATTTTCCTTTGCTATACCTATCTTGTACAATCGTAGATCCTCGGAGTGCTTGGAGCAGTTGCTTGTCCGTTGAGATGAGCATCACGTATCATAATGTAAAACGTAAATATCTCATGTAGATACGCAGCGGGTCGAGCTTATCGAGTGCGGGCCGTGGACAGGAGAACCTAGTCGTTGGAAATGTTCGACCGCATTGTCCAGGCCAACCGCTCATGATGAGTGGTGACCGACGAGAAGTCGGCATGATCGGCATAGTCTATTCCTTTAACATGATCTGAGCTCATGTTGGAATTGAGCGCAGACTCCCGGGTGGTCCCCCCACCGCCCCGAACTAAGGTTTAGTCCGCCTCACAATGCCAGAGCTCCGAATTGCGGGGATCTAACCCAACCCCACTCACTATGTAGCCTTTCTTAAGAAGACATTCGGTGCGAATATTCGATAAACCTGGCGCCGACTCCTTTTATGAGTCTGAGGAGCATTCCCGAATGCGCGCATCTGGAGTCTGAACCAACATATCACAATCGATTGCGCGCTCGAATCAATCATGCGTTCAGATCAATCATGCGCTCAAGTCGATTCCGCTCCAATCAATTTCGTTCCAATCAACTCCGCTCGATATCGCGCTAATCGGCTGTGCGCTGAGATCAATTCTGCGCTCAGGTCGATTTTGCGCTCAAATCTATCATTGGCTCAATTCAATCTGCGCTCCACTCGGTACTATCGAAGCAAAGAGCTCATGAGCATTTTCCGATTCTGGGCACATCTGCTGATCATCGTCATCATTGAGACGAGCTGTCTGCTACATAGGAAAAAAGAGAGCCGGCGGTAGACGGACGTTCTTGATCGGAAACGTACATCTCACAATTCACAATCATTCAAGAGAGTCTCCGAAGGTGAATACGGACCTCAGAGAAGGGGAGGCTTGGAGCCTTGCATGAATTCCTGAGTCCTCTTCCGGGGCTCCACGTCTCATTTGTCGCGATTCGAAAAGGGGGAATATAGTAACACATTGCGCGCCTAACTCATAGGCATAATTCCAGAGGTTTCTCTCCTCAGCGGGAAGTCTCGAGGATATCCCATAGCGTTCACCTCCCGATGGTGTTGCGTCTGCATACAAGGAGCATCGTTTCCCCTCATAATGCTTATTTTCGCCGTCCATCTTCGAGCATGCTCCCGACCAGAGGGGACAGACAGTTGTTCTGATAGAATCCATTGCTATAGAGGCTCAACGCATTGCCTGGGATGAAGGTGGGGGAATTAGACAAAAAAAATGTCGACCTTTGGAGGACGGATCCCGCAACTTCCAGGCTTGATGATAGACCGTTTCGAAGATGACCCTGATATAAGAGCGTACTTCCTCTCCCATGACCATTCGTAAGTTTCGACAAGGAGGGGCCATAGAGCAGCTTGCGGCGACATGAATCGTCGATAAATTTGCTTTTGCTTCCATGATTGTCATAGCTGCTAATTTTCAGAGACCATCAGTATGGAATAGATGATCCAGATTTGCAGTCTTACATCATTAAAGACTCATTGAAAATTTATGCATCGCCCTTGACAGTTCGCATGCTTCGCAATCGCAGAAAATTCGAGGAGCTGCACGATGCATTCCATCCTCTACCGTTGGACGTTCCGCATAAGATTGTGATAGGCTCCAGTGAGTCGGCCTATCCGGTGACTGTGACACTGACTTCCGCCGAGCACATCGTAGGCTCGGTGATGTTCGTTTTCGAGAGAGAGACACCGAAGTTCCGTTGTCTCTACACCGGAGACTTCCGCTTATCGAAGCAAGATCTCAAGTTGAAGAGATGTTTCAAACTACATCGGGGCCTAAAACCATTCGACGCTATCTATTTTGACTCTACTTGGTGCACACCGAAAAATTTGTGGAACATTCCGACCCGAGAAGAAGTTTTACGCTACGTCGAACCGTTGGTCAACACACATCTTCAGGAGGATGAATCGAATTATATTTGTGTTTACACGATGTATGACGTCGGATACGAGAACTTATTGCTAGATTTGGCCAGAATTGCGGACTCCGCTGTCCATGTGACCGAAGAACGGGCTTCGCTCTACAAAGGATTCCCTGGCATGACGGATATCCTCACTACAGAACCACGAAATTGTCGCATACATTTTTGCCAGAAAGGTTATCCCAGCTGGAAGAAGAGCTGCTCACAAGTCCGGCGTGATTATAACTCGGGTCGTGTTATGAGACTCGTTTTTTCGTATAAAAAGTTCATCGAAGAGCACAAAGAGAACCCGGAACAGAATCCCTATGTGCAGAACAAGAAAGACAAATATCTGTATCACGTTTGCTGGTCCACGCATCCAAGTCTTGCGGAGGTCTCAGATCTGGTCAACTATCTGAGTCCTGACTCGCTACATGCGAATGTGATAAAGGGCTGTTCCGAGAAAGATATCCTGACAACCTTGCAACGAGGTTCTATAAATTCGAAGAAATGGCATGTGAGAGACGCTTCGGAGGGCTTAGCATGTGGTGAAAAGCATAAGCCTAAAGATGGGTCTAATGGCAACTCCAGTCAGTCGACCGATGACTCTGCCAGTGAGAGTTTGATAGATAAGCTGAGGAGGAAGGGTTGTATCGAAAAAAGAAGCGCATCCCCATCTCCGTCTTTGGATAAATTAGAAGCTACGAAATTGAGGAGACTTGAGTGATGTGTTTATCATTATCAGGGCTCGACTTTCGTCGCGGAAACTCGCAGCATTCCCCGGCTCCCATAGACTTTCTATGGGGAAACGCCCCGCAACGCACCGAAAAATCGCGGTCACGGTCACGGACCGCGACGAAAGTCGAGCCCTAATCACTATAAATTACCATTATGTGACACCGGAGCGAGGGACTTGATTGTTGCCGTCTTCAGCTCATTCTCGATGGATTACTCGACCGAAATTGGTATATGACTGTATACGCTATGAAGAGACTTTTTTTCTAAGAGCGCCCATGTCCATATCATGTTTGATCTATTCAAAATGCCGAATAAACATCTCTGGGTTCCAATATCGGAGATTCATAACTGAGAAAGGGGCTTCGTTCGTTTCCAGCGACATCAGAACTTGTAAAATTCTTCGTTTATTGTCATTCTTGGTTGCTAAAAAGAGGAGTTTTGTAGTATTTCACACACGAGGTCTGTGGGTTTGCTTGGAGCTCCGAAGGAAAAATTCGGAGCTTTCGGCTCTGTGAATGTCTGTCTGTTTGTCAGTTATCGGTCCCGACTTCGAGAACCTGGCACACAACACGCTTCTCCGTCTAACAGATGGAGTGGCAAAAAAAGCTTGGCTGTGGTTGAATCCCTTCCTCTCTCAATCCCTCCTTAATATTAATCATTCACAAAGATATCCCAACTTCATTGAGACATCCCGATTCAGAGCCAGGGGGTTGCACTGCATTCACAGGAATTTCCACGAGTTCACAACCCGTCATACTGAGTGACAATTGCACGTGATTCATCGATTGCTTGCAAATTAGACCCGTTTTAAATAGGCGGAGGGGAAGTGTCTCGCGCGGCTTCGCTCAGAATCTGGCTTCTGGCCGTTTTGAGTTTGTCCATGCGTTTCTGTAGGTGAGCGTTCGTCGTTTCAAGCTCCTCGATTCGGGTCTGGGCCTCGCGGAGCTCTCGGAGAATTTTCCGTTTCTCGACCTTGAGTTCTTCTTCGGCTTTCTCGGACTCCTCCGCTTGGCTCTTGTAGTGCTTCAATTGGGTGTCTAGTCGCGCGTTCTGCGATGTCAACGTTGTGATCTCTTGTTCGGCTCTTTTCAATTTGTACTTGTAGTCCGATACTGCTTTACTAGCTTCCCTCTGAGCGTCCAGAATCGCCTGCGTGTCGCGTCCACCAGCTTGCCGCGATACGTCCTCTAAGCGATGCACTCGTGCTCGCTCCTCGCGTAAATCTTCGCGTAACCTGTTGGAGGATCATCCATTCTTAGCGCGCGAGGTAAGACTCGATGTAAAGAGGAACTTGGTAGACACATCCCCACGATTTACGACCGGAATCGGGCCCGGTAGGCCTCGTTCCCCAGAACAGGACGAGCGAAGCGGTGGCCGACAAACTCACCTCGAGACTTCTTCTTCTAGACTCTGTTTCTCTTCGTTGAGGGCTTGTAACTTGCGTTCGAGGTTTCCCTCACCGGCACCCCTGAGAACTTCGGACATGTCTTTACTCACTAACTGCAGTTGACCTTCGTCTTCTCCAACGAGCACTAAACCGTGTTCCTGGAAAATAATCGCGCCGTGAGTTACTGATGGATGCTTGGAGAAGAGAGATCGCCTCCGACGGGCTCAGTCGCTTGCTTCTGAACTTCCGACGTTTGAATATTCTCCCGGGCAATCGATCCCTTATGGTGTGGATCCTCGCGGCTTTCAGAATCAGGCAGCTCGAGAGAATCTTATCGTCATGGACCTCCTTCGGGCTCCTGAACCTTCGGATGCGACACACTAATTCTAGGCGTCAGAAACGACGAGATCGCTCGCTCCATCTGTGGGCTGGAGGGAGCGGCTGCAGGCCGATTTCGACCTTCTCCCGAGAAGAATACTCACGCCGACGAGACGATCTCGTTCTTTGACTTGATGCTCGAGATATGCTTTGTCTTGCTTGAGGTGGTTCGCGTCTCTTGTCAACTGATCAAAAGCTCGCGTTTTGTCCGTTAGTTTCCGTTTGACTTGAACGAAGTTCTCAGTGAGTTCTTCCATGTCGTCTCGAAGCGTCTCGATCATATATTGGAACGCCTGCTTGTCGGAGTCCATCTGATGGATCGAAATCAACGCTTTCCGGAGTTGGTCTTCCAGGTCCTCTCGACTGCGAAAAAGACACGGAAACGTGAGGAGCGGTCCCTCATCTCGAGAGCGGGCTCCTCTGAGGATCTTCAGGTGCATCCTATGGCTTGCACCTAGAACCAGATGAACAAAGTGGTACCTGAATTCGCCGAACTCGGAGTCTGCGTCTGAACTACGCCTTGAAGATACTGAGGCGATAGAGGCAGCCCTCACGTCGCGGTTCCGAGGACGTCCGTCTTCGTCCACAGACTCAACCACTTTCATCCTCGCGGCTCTGCCCTCTGCCCGGGCTTTCCGCCGCGCTGCCACACGAGCCTCGGCCTGCAAAAGGGAAACGAGAGCTAACCGACACGTTCAACCAAAAGCCTTTATTTTGTGGAGTTATCTGTCCAGGGAATCGCTTATGCACGCCCTTCCTGATGTCACCATCACGTGGACAGGACTCAGGGCAAGCTCAATTCGTTTTCGAACATCGCATCGAGATCCCTGTCAATCGTTGTCCTGCGAGACATGAGGAACGCGAGGACCGGTCGGCAGAAGCTTCGGGACGACCTAAGGGTGCCGTATCTACGAACCTCCTTAGCATTTTGATCGAGTTGATGTTCAGCGGCGAAAGCTGTTCCGGAACCGTTCGCCATCCTTCGTCTTTGAGTTGGTGTTGTGCTTCCTGTACTACTAGAGTCCATCGTCATTTTGCTGCTACCGACAGCACCGCCGATTTTGCTTCCCTGAAACGAAACCCGTTTGAGTACGTCTCGTATCCGCATATTCTCTGACGGTTTTAGAATGCACGAGCGGGCCAGCATCCCGTGAAATCGCAAGTCGGATAAGTGAGAGTGAGTCATTCGTATATCTCGCATCAAATTCTCGATTAGTCTTCCCCTAATAGGCCGCATGGTATGAGGCTCTTTGACACCCGTTATCGAATTAATTCTCAAATTTATCCCTGCTCCGTTGATCATTCATCTTCCATGTTGAGCGCGTACTCCGAGCTCCAGCAATATCAGTCCCCGTTTCAATTCCCAGCGGAAACTAGATATTCTCATTTTCTGGAAGTCTGCTCCCGTTGCTCAATTCAGCATGAGTCGAAAGCAAATTCACGCGGTAATGATGCACGGTATAATCCCCATCATTACCTCGTTGAAGAGAATTCTGAATTGATGATGTTGTGAGAGATGACAGCTGAATCAAAGCTGGTATTACACTGAAGCGTAATCGGAGGCCTCTGACTTCCCGCGGAGTTTCTCGGGCCGACCGGATTTGTGGTCAATCTGACCAGCGCAGCGGGCCGAGCGTGGGAGTGTTCTACGAATCGTAGTACGCGTCGCAGTGATCAGCAACCACTCGAGAAAACCACTATGCTCACCGTACATTCAAGTTCGGTTCTTGAGACGCGCGATATAACGGCTATTGTAGTGGCTATAGCTCACGCTCAATACTGACTAAGCGTGTGAGGGGCGAATCTCCCGCATCGTGATTCTCAATATTGGAAGCTCGTTTCCTCAGCGTCATGCGGTGTCAGGCAGACAGTAGGCAGGCAGGCGGGCGGGCGACCTGAGCGAGCGCCGACAGACCAGCCCGACGAAGTCTACGTGTGTACGCAGGCTTCCCTCTGAGGTCTTGGGTATTTCAAGAAGCTCTCCGCAGGATCTTATCGGTGTTCCGGCTTCGTTTCGTCTAACCATTAAGCAAAATATCGACCCGAATGGGTTTGTCGCCTCTATAATTCCGCATTCGAGAACAGTCCAAGATCCCGAAACTCTAACCCAGAAGTGACGAGCACAGACATCGGAATGACAAGAGCGACACCGCATGTTTACAAAATTCCATGCCCGATATCTAGCCACCGGCTGAGCCGATACCTTTTTCGCGGGGATCGAATTCGGGCTCTATGTATGGAGCCACGAAGATAATAGGACCGTCATGATTTTTGTTAGAAAATGATCACTCGATAAATCGAATTCGGAGATGCATCGACGCGTTCGGCGGAGGAGCCGTGGGTGGACAATTCGAATTTCTGGCACGAGACTCGTCGTTCGACGACGATTACGGCACGCCATTCGGCCTAGCGTACTGTCGATCGAGTCTGTCGAGTCCGATATTGTTCCCGTGTATTTCCGTTGCATTGAGACGTCTCTGAGAGGAATGTACCGTGGACCGCCGTGAAGGTAAAGACGGTGCTCTGAGCAACTTCGAGCATGGCGGAATTATTCGTTGTGAGTCGCGGTCCGAAGCCGGTCGAATCGCCATCGATTAGGAGAAGCCCTTAGCTTAAGAAGCAAATCATCACCAACGTTTGAGAAAGCGGTTTTCCAATACCTTTTTCATGGCGACAAGGCCTTGTTGTTTCGAGACTCCTTCTCTACCTGCATCGACTCAAGTCTTTATAGAGACGTTATTGAACTCGAGGATAGGACTCTATCTCTTTACTGATCTGAACTCACTGCTTTCGGCTGCCAGGATGCGGTTTGTTGAAGAACGAAACACTGGAATCCACAGGATACTTCAAAATCATGAACACATTACTGTCGGTCTCTGCTCTATTGCCATTTTGCGACAAGGCGCTGCCATTGTGGACCTCGCAGAATGAACGCATCCGCATCTTCACGGGGAGGTCCTTAAGGTAGACCAGAGCCGGTCCTGGGCTCGTTCGCTGCTCGATCGGACCGAGTGCGCATGAGGATCCGATGATCCCTCGCGGGGTTTGCGTTAGCCCCAAATCATATCTGTACGCCTGATTCTCTCCATCGGTCGCTTGCTAGTTCGTTGCATGCGAAGGTGGGCAGCGGCATTGTGCCTCGGTCAAGGTACAGTGCGGTTGGAGCATAGCTCTGTATTTGCCGAGGAGGTGCACTGCTTCCATTCTCCTTCTCTGTCTCCTTATGAGCACCCCGCCTAATGGCTGGATCTCGATCGGATGACATGCTGAAGACATGGAAGTGCCATTTCCCGCTACAGAGTCGAATATCGTTCCAGATTGCGCGTTCGTCGATCGAGCGGTTACGATTCCCGACGGTAGACTGCAGCGCGCAAGCTGCCGTTCTTTCCAGGATGCCGAATTCCGCGGTGATGACGATCGGACAGAAGGCATCTCCGGCATCAGGTGCAATACGTCAGGTGTAGTGCGTCAGGTGTTCTGACGGAGAACAAAGCAAGGGAAATATCCGAGCGGGGTCATACATCGGAGGATATTGCGAGGTGATTCGCTGTCGTGCTCCAACTCTCCGTGCTCGTAGGTAGATTGAACGAGCAATTGACCTGCGGGCGAACCCCCCGACAACCTCTCGATTCTCTCTAAAGCTTAAGCGATAACAGATTCAGAGGGAAGAACCATCTAAGCATGGAAGTCATAGCAAGGTTTATCCAAGGGCATCGCGAAACACCGAGCTCGTCTATGGGTTTCGGAGTAGGATCAGAACTTACCGGCTACACTCGACAAAGTATCTCCAATGACACCGGATAGTTCGGGCCTCGGACTTCCATGCGCCTATGTCGTACCTCGAAATCCCCCCGTCAATGTGATGTTTTCCATTCGAGGAGTGCCTCAGAGACCGAAGAAGTTTGTGGCGGATATCCTCCAAATCAGAGCTCTCGACCTAGCATCGAGACTGACTGACTGAGTGACATCATACACGGAATTTCTTCCCTTCTCGGACCCTCGTGATGTAGCTGACCGAGTTGACGCTTCGGTGCTCCCTCTAGAACTACCAACTGTTGAATTGCGAGCTCTTTGAGCTTCACTCAATCCTAGACTCATCACATTGACAGGCACCACCAACTACTAATTGAGCTCTCGAATCCGCCACTGCTTCGTAGGATAAGGCTGCAAAGTGCTTGGTTCGAAGCGTATGCCCTCGATTGTTTTCCCTAAAAAGAGAGGTCAAACGCAGAGCAGCCTTCGGGAGTCGACCCCCAGACGGTCTTGCGGAGCGTTCCCACCCCGCTATCTCGAAGGAATTCGCCGCGTGGCCGATATTGAGGTGATCAAACAGAGTGATAGTCGTGTCGGAGTAGGCACCCGATCGATCAAATGATGGCATCAATCTTCCCCGATCACCTCTCGTTTGCTGCATCCAATAAGCCATCATCCAGGTCCTCTGGTGGGTTCGGATCTACCTGGCAAAGCAGCTGAGAACTAGGGTTTTTAGACCCCACGTCGAGCTTATTGGATCACAAGGAGTCTGCATCGGAGATTAAACCGATAATCCCGCGAGCACGGTCCGGCTCCCTCAATTCTCGAAATGGATAGACTTGTTGATTCCCGAATCTTTTGGCGGAAGCACCCGTCAATCCACGTGGGATTTCCTTGCTTCAGCTCGTGGATAAGCTGATTCGGAGGTCTTTTCCAATCATACTAATAATAGAGCTACAGTTTCCTACTACTGAGAGAAGTTTCCGATTGGACAAGGGCGGAAATCAGATGAACTTCTCGATCGAATCTAGTAATATTTAGTATCCGAGCAGCGGGTCGTCCTCTCGGAGCTCCGCGCAGCCAGCAAAGGGTTTGCAGAGCAAACGCGCAGGCGCGCCCCCGAACCTGGATCTTTCGCTTTGCTCCTCGGAGCGGATCGATAGCGGGCAAGCCTGCCAGCCTTCCTGCCTGCCTGCCTGGCTGGCTGCCCATCCGCCTGGCAACCACGGAGCAACCTAATGAGAAGCCAACGCCCACTGCGCCTTTCACTCGAGCTTGTGCCCGAGATTTTTGGCGCAATTTCTCTTCTGTAGTTCACTCTGTTCGGCCAGAAGGGGGGGGGGACGAGCTTCTGCGCTGAGCAAAGCTGCTATAGGCGAAAGCGGTGTGGTATGAGCATGTATTCGCTGACGATTCAATAAAAACGCCAAAGTTCAGAAAGAAAGACTTGGGAACGGATCCTTTCTTTATTTCATCTTGGATTTGAATCGTTTCCTACTATCCTAACGTGCTGCATGCAGTCTGTGAGCGAGGCCAAGCGGGACCCGGGATACGTCTACGCTCTCGGGTCGGGCGGCTGGATAATCCTTAGACGTGAGGGAATTTCCTAATCCATTCGGTGAATTCCAATGCTGGGATGCTGAAACTGTGACGATATCATATGCACTCCATGAGATGCCTGGATGTTCAACAAACCACCAGAGCACCTGATGAAGTACAAAAGACGTTCGTCCCATCAGGCCCGAGGGGCGGACTCGGATGTCGCCTCGGAACTCACTCGAGTTTTCCAACTCTGGTCGAACTCTTTCGTTTCTCCCGGGGCAACCCGGACGCCTACGTCCGAAGGGTACGCGCCGACGCAAGGGCAGAGGCTTCGGAGTGGAACTTGTCGACTTACATCAGATGCATCCGCGCGCTACTTCAGGTACCTGACTAGACAGATTTATGAAGCCACAAGCACCTGTCGTAGCACGGGACGTAACTGGTGTCGGCACGGACGATACGAGTCCATGCAACTCACCTAATGCGGCACTTCTTCGAGCTTCGGATCCGGGCTTCAATGCAGTTGTTCGAGGCGGCGGTGTTGGAGGAAGCAGCAGGGGCGAAAGGGCGGAATCGCGAACAAGCCTGGTGCAGAGCGGGTGCCTGGAGCGGAGTCGGGCCCGGAGTGGGCGAACGGCCTCAAAGCGACCCGTCTTTTATAGGAGCACGAAGTCCCGCCCTCGG